AATATCCAATTTTTCGATAAGTCAGTGGAAACATTTTCCTAATCAAAATTATGTTTTATTTGGATTTAGTAAGTTGGTATGTTATCTTTATCCCCCAAATCCTCGAGGGTTACAAGTTACGACTCTCGTGACCATTGAATATTACCTCTGATTAGTTTCTTGGCATATCAATTGTGAAATAAAAGGATATAAAGCTGGCATAATTTACATCCGCCTGCTGTTCCTGGCGCCCAGGATGCCCCTGACCCTTTCTACCACTCAAGTCACGCAGCAGAGGCGCACAGGACAAGAGTGCTGGTAAATGCGAAATAAAAACGAAAATTATGAACTGCACAAAAGCTGTTGTGAATTTTAATAAATTTTGCTGCCTTGGCTTGGCTGGTGCTGTGATGTTATTGTTGTTGTTGTTACTTTCGGCTGAGCGGGAAAGTATCTGTATCTGCCAACTGCGGCAGTGCGAACAAATCAAAAAAGGGGGAAGTCATGGGAAGAAGATACACACGCACACAGGGCAGAACTCACTTGGAGATACAGATACAAAAGGGGAGAATACGTCAAAAGGAGCAGTTATTTATTTATTTGTGTGCAATCGAGTGACGGGTCGGAGGGGAGGGTGAAATACGCCCAAAAGGAACAACAATGGCGGGCTAACGCAGAATAATGGGATAACAAAACGCCCTTGACACCCAGTAAAAAGACAGCCAGCCCTCAAAAGTGGGCAAAGGCGAACGAGAAGTAGCCTTATTATTATGAACACAGCACGTAGCAATTGTACAGGGGCGTCGGTAGAGGGGGTTACTGAAAATGGGCTGGACGGGGTATGAGGGGCTCAGGGGGTGAGAGGGTTTGGCAGCACACACAAAGGACCCACAAAAGTACAAATCAAACCCTCGAGAGCGGCCAAATAATAAACAAGAGAAGAGTAGCCTCCGTGCCGGGGGAGAAAGCGAGAGAGAAAGGAAGAGAAAGAGAGGGAGACGATGAAGGTAAAGGAGCTGGAGGGAGAGAGAGAGAGCTGCGCAATACCAGCAATGGCGCACTGCCGGCAAGCAGCGTGAGTGAAAGCGAGAGGGACTACCTTGGGGGTGTGTCTAACCCATCTCTTTCTCGCTCACACCCCCACTCTGGGGGTGGCTGGTGGTGGGGCAGCCATCTCACTCACACCACGGAATCACTCCGGCGGTAGCTGGCACCACCGAAAAAGAGAGATAAGATAGTCCGGGAACGATACGATATTGTTGAGTTGGCGGTGCGTCGCACATTCCGGCGTTCTGTTTTCAGTGTCCGCGAGTTCTCGTCGCCAGCAGCACCACGTTTACCGTTAGCCAACCCACCAGCACCAACACCACCAGCAAAACTGACACCACCACCACCCACCGACAACGGTATCACACGCCACTCCTCCCCTCCAGCGACGGTGTCGCACTCGCTACACGCATCCAACAGATACTTTTGCGTACGCTTTCGAATTCGTTTTCAATTCAGCTACGTCCTGTTACGGGTGCAGACGCGTTGCTTCCGTTTGCAGTGCTCAGTGTCAGTCAGTGTGCTCAGATACAAGATAGAAACGCTGCAGATACAGATACTTAGCCTAATTACGCGGCGGATTAAATTATTAAAACACTAAGTTGCCGCAAAAGCCAGAGGCGGATTTTGACTCAGTCTGTCTGTCAGTCAGTCAGTCAGTCCCGGCAAAAGAAATCAAAATAAATCGAATTGAATCGGTTTGGATTGTATAGAATTGAATCAAATCATATCAGAGAAAGTGTCGCGAGTGCATTTCGAGTTTGTGTTTGTGAGCCAGATTTGAATGTGCGTGTGTTTGTTCGTGTGGGCCACATCAGCGAGAGTCGAGCATCGGGCATCAAAGGCGCATTAAAAACATATCCCCGAGTTACTTAAAATTAATCACTAACATAATCACTGTGATTTTTATTATTTGCCAACGATCTGCCAACGTCAACCGCGTGTGCGAAAACTATAAGCGGCTCTATTAAATAGCGCTACTTTGCCTTTGATTAGCAATCTGTTGCAACAACATTGGCGGCATTAAACTGAAGACCCAACGACAACAGATCTTGATCTGGATTCGATTCTGATTTCTGAGATTTATAGCCTCCGCCCACGCGACTTCTCCCAGGGATCACCGGAGATTTTTTCGTGTTAACTTGCCAATGCGATTGAAATGAAAGCATTCTGATTTATTGCCCTGGGCCCACGACATTTGCTCCTGAAGAAGCCCCAAAGTTCGACTGGGTCTGGGACTTTGATAATCCGGAATAGAGGAAACCGACGGAACTTTGTTTCACTGCCGATCGAACGGCCCCCACCCAGTGGATTAATTTGATTTCCTTCCCAAACAAGAAGAGGTAAGAAATTATTACTATAGTTTTGACTATCTAAAAGGCAATACCTTCAATGGGGAAGACTATATTCCTGATATATTTAAAAAAATGATTCATGGATAAGGAAATATATGTTAAGTAGTATTCGCGTGTCGGAAAGCCATTCATAATCCCTCGGAAATTTGAAGAATTTAGATGAAAATTATTAGGGAATTATTATGGGGGTCAGTATTATTTAACAGGTGTTAGGGAAAAGAATTGTCAAACAGATCTTAGAGCTTTTACCGAAAGAAAGTTTATAGTTTATAAAGCTTAATTAGACAAATACAAATAGTAAGTACTTATGTGACGGAAAGGAAGCGCTTAAATACTGATGCAACTTAAATATTAGACCAAGACAAACATAACTTTCCTGGTAAACACTTTTATAAAATGGTAATCACACTCTAATGACAATGTCAATGCCGTTGATGCTGGTTAAGCATGTTTTCCACTGTTGCTTCCAGGGAGGATCAGGATAGGTTTACGTCTCCAAGCCCGCCAATAAACGTATCCAATAAACTGATTGTTGGACAACGAATTAAGTTTACTGAGCACTTTTGTTCGCTCTCACGCCGCGCATAAATCACGGCGGAGTGAGACCCGGGTACGGGCCTGAGTACGGGTATGGAATTGCCGCCATAAAGAGTCAGCCGATTAGTGGGCATCTCGTAAGGGGGCCTCTGGGCTTTTGGCCTAACCGGACTAGAATTTGGCCCAAAAAGTACAAATAACAACAAAAATCGGGGGGAAATCTCCAGGCAGCGCCAGTCATTGACGTCACCTAAACAATTAAGATGTGCGTTCTGTGGGGCAAACAAGGCATGGAAAAAACCTAAGTACACAGCTAACGAGAGTGGGTGGAGAGTTGGGCAAACCACTAAACTTGAATTTGTATAAAATAATCAAATTAAATAGAAATGAAAACATGTGGAAAGCCTTGGCAAAACATCGGAATCTTGGCACCTTCGCTTTGCCCGGCAATGAAGAAGCATAAAGCTGCTAGATCTCTGCGGCAATAAAGTGGCATAAAATAATTTCTGGCATTCTTTGTCTTAGGGAATCATTATGTAAATAAATTCTCACTTTTGAAATAAAATGACAAAGCAGAAATGCCACACGAAATAGACCAGAGACTAAAGACCAAGAGACAAGAGTATTTTTGGTTTAGCGGTGGAAAGGAATGATGGAACAATGGCAATGACGGCTGGCACTTTGAACTGGGAACCAAATTATTTATTAGACACTGCGGCAGATAACTTAGCCAGAAATTATGCCGCAAGCAAGAGCAAATAACAATAACAGTGTTATAAATACTTGCGGCAATAAATGCAGAAACTTTTCATTTCAACGGCTGACCCATCAAAGAGTTGCCCATAAATTAAGCTTCAAGTGAAATTATGTTTATGGTATCACTGAGACTGCTGCCGTTATTATTGTATTATTGTTGTTGAACAACCGCAAATGGATTTAATATTACAGCCGCACTAATCCACTGGGGATCAAGTGGAGATCAAGCGGCATTATCAAGCATGAATTATCAACGAAACGAAATCGAAAGTGACAACTCAAGCCAAAGCATTCCAATTAAATTTAATTAAATTCACTTCAACTGCGAATTTATGCTGCTGCTAGATTTATGAAATGCCCATTCTCGTTCTCGTTCTCATTTCGCCTTTGAATGCCTTTAGTTTGTTGTGATTGAGATTAGATAACCATTTATTGCAACGTTTCGTTTCGATTCGATACGTTTTGGTTTCGTTTTGCGCCGGTTGCCCAGATAGCGTTATATAGACATATAACCGACGTATACATATATTTTTATATGTGTTATAGGGAGAGTTCCCCGATATCGGGCCAGGGGAACCTGGAGAGGTGTTCTCCTTTTCGCTAATTGATTTACGATCGTTTATTGCTATTTTTGTGCTACTGTCATTGGGTTCTTTTTTATTTTCTTCGTTTTTTTTTGTATTTATTTTTAACGAATTTATTAGACACAGCCCTGACAAAGTTTATCGCTCCCCCTTTTATATTTCGCCTAGTTTCCAGTTGCCAAAATCGCTCAGTGTACGGGTAATAATAATAGCCAGGAGAAATGCTCGCAGAAATGTAAATATTTTACATCGATAAGACGGTTATCATCGCCCCTGATGCCTGATAGCGGTGTAGGCGGTTCAGTGGTTCGGTGGCTCGCTGGTTCAGCGGTGCGGTTGTCAACTCATTCCCCTCCCTTTCAGTTCCCCCTTCCTTCTGGCCGTGTGCACTCCAACAATTTACGACGCCAAGTGAAACAGCCCGATTGCCACTCCCTTGCCGGCGGCTCCAGCATCCGAGGCAGTGGTATTAACCCCTTGACGTGTTGGGTGTTAAGTTGCCATTCGGCTGGTGTTTGGGTTAAGCTTACTGTTTGCACTGGCGTTGAGGCGATAAAATAGGCAGTACCATAGTTGATTTGCCCACCAGGTAGTCAAATGATAATTAAATTAAGCCTGGAAGAGAAGTGCGGGTCTGCAGATCGGGGAAGACTGGGCCTTAAATGAGTAATTTCCAAAGATCTATTGAAAATGTGAATAGAGTTAAAATCAGAGGGCTTTAATTTTGAAATATTTAGAATACCTCTATATCTCTTCCTGAACTAATAAGACAATACTGTCCTTCATTTTTTAGCTCGTAGAGCTCTGGAAACGGCTGCATCTTGGATTTGCTCTCGCCACAGTTGGAAGATACCGGCCTCAAGACGACGACTTTCCTGCAGCACTTTAAGGACGTCGTCACGACGAAGTTCACCGGGCGGGACCACCATCTGCCGCCGCTGCACCCTGCACATCCCGCCCACATCCCGCACCAGCAGTCGGCGCTGCACCACCACCACCACCAGCCGCACCAGGCTGTTGCCCAGAGCTTCTCCACCATTTTCCCCACGTATCTAGGCATGGACCGCACCGCCGCCGCCGGCGGTTGTGGTGCGGCGGGGGGTGGCGGTCTAGGTGTGGGTGTGGTCACTAGCTCGGCTACAGCCCTCGGCCCCGGCGGCATAGCCAATGGGGGTGGGGGCGTGGTCAGCGGAGCGCTGAACGGCCTGGAGGCAATGTCGGCCGAGTCCACGGGTCTGTGCCTGCAGGATCTGGTGAGCGCAGGAACGGCCAATGGAGCTGGCTCGGCGGGATCGGCGGAGAGCGCCACCACAACCAGCACAGCCCTGAGCAGCGGCAGCACCGGTAGCTCAACGGTTAATGGCGGCGGCAGTAGCACCTCGGGCACAGAGCACCTCCACAGCCACCACAGCCTCCACGACTCCAGCTCGTCCGTCAGCATCTCACCCGCCATCTCGAGCCTGATGCCCATTAGCAGCCTGAGTCACTTGCACCACTCGGCCGCCGCCGGCCAGGATCTGGTCGGTGGCTACTCCCAGCATCCCCACCACGGGGTGGTGCCGCCGCATACGCCCAAGCACGAGCCGCTCGAGAAACTCAGAAGTAAGTATCGAATAGAGAAGATATTAAAGATATTGATAAAATGATGTATATACTTCAATCTGCAAGGAGCTTATAAAGTCTTAAATTCCAAAAATAATTTAAATATTTTAGATGCAATTTATTGTGTCAAATAGTCTAGACTATTAGTAAGACTCTAGTAAATCTATAAATATACTACAGATTTAGATAATCAAATTCAAGTCCTTTTTCAAATTATGTGCCTTAAGATCTTGCTCCTCCTTCTCTACCTTAATAATCAATAATTATTAGTTTTTTGTAAAGACTTCTTGTCCAATCTATTATCATCTAAAAAAACATTTCTGTAACATCTGAAAACGTTTCGTCTTGAGGTATAATAGCAGACAATTTCGTGGGCCATTTATAGTTAAATTTGTGAGAGGCATCTCTCGCATTGACAGCTAATTAGTGGGCTCATAACTCAGCCGAGGAGACATACTTTGGGGGGATATTGGTGAGGCGATGCCCTCCGATCCGAGCCATCAACAAGTGTCCACATTCTCATTGCTATTCATGGCACTTTTGTGGGTTTGCTATATTTTTGTTCCTGTTTCTGTTTTTTTTTTTGTGGTGCTTGCCTCTGTCAACGGCAGCTGTTGTCATTTCAATATGCGATTCGTTTTGGCAATCATTCACGCTCCGGCCCGAAAGCTCACTCCCTGGCCACTTGTCGCTCTGTTTCGCCCTCATGCATATTCATAATCATTGTGCAATCATTAGCGCATAATCTCCGCCAAAGCGTTACAAAGGGAACAACCCGAAAAAAATTAGGGCCCATAGTCAGGAGTGGAAATAGGACAGCGCATTGGAGATACTTATGGTACAACTAAACAAATTTCAATTTTGTGCGCATGTCACGGCTAATTGAGCACCCTTCTGGCGTAGTGCCGAAGGCAGCACTCCCCTCTTGATTTTTTACTTCCCTTTGGAAGATCTCCAGGCGCGATTTTTGGTTATTCGATATGAGCACTAAAGTCAAGTGTTTGTTGTTCCGTTTGCTCTAATTGTTATGGGAATTTGGACACGGGGGAGATGCTGCCGAGGATTCTGGGATGGAGGGACAGCCAAGTGTCAATGCCGTAATTTTCAAGTGGCCAATATGACAACTCAATTGATTACAGGGCTGGTGTATTTTATATTTCAGAAAAATCTACAAATAGCATGGTTCAGTACCTCTTTAAAGAACAGACCCATATCTTTTTCATAACTTTACTTGGGTGTCTCCTACTTCACCTCCTATTTTTCACCTGAGAACTTTACAAACGTAAATCCGTAGAACCTACCTCCGAAAATGTTCATTTGCATAACAGATTTGTCTGCCCTTGCCTAGAGATTTGTTGGCTGTCACCCCCGTACACTCCACTCTGGCCCCGAGGTTAACAGCCCCTGCCAACTTTGCACTTGTCTGCACCAAGCCGAACTGAACTGAACCGAGGTGAACCCAGTGCGTCCTGGCCACAGATGTCCTGCCATTTATTTGCGTGCCAAAACAATTTAGCACAAAAATGGTGTGCATTTAAAACATGCATGACTGCAGTTATCCTTTGACACAACTCACACACTCAAAAAAAAGGAGGAGATTGCTGCAGGTGCTGGCAGCTCAACAATTTTAGCCAAAAAATTTGGCTATTATTGGCGAGGAACTATTTAATGGAAAAATGCATTAAAAATTGGTTTTTAACTCATCTTTAAAAATATACTATTGCTATTAAAAACCGAGTTGCGATTAGCTTTGACCAGAAAAGAGCTAAATTTTCAACACTTTCCAGCCAGTCACGAGGATACTTGGCCACAAATTTTCACTCCTGTTGTTATCCTGTTGTTCCTGCCGTTGTCGTTATTGTTTACGCTCTTGTTTAAATAATGGCCACGCAACGTGATTCTGGTCCTGCTGTTTCAGGATTTTCATCACCACCCAGCCAGACTCCTCGCCTCAGGTTTCCACATTTCGACTGCAGTGTTGCAATTGGATTTTCAATTATTGGCCAATTTAATGGTCAGAAGCCACCCACTCAACTCCCCTTCGTATCTATATAAATGTATTTATGGGCATTTATATGTGCAGGGGTAATAATTTTTTACGATTGCACTTTTTTATGTGCTGTTCTCTCACCTTTTAGTTTCGACTCTTTCGTTTTATTTTTGGAAGATCATTTTATGACTTCGGTGCGTGTTTTTATTTGGCTGCCGGTGCTCAAAGGATTTCAAGTTCACGTTTTATACTAATTTAGCCCCACGGAGAAGATTTTTTATGGGAAATAGTAAATACTTAATGCGACAACAACTCTTTAATAGCCGGTGTAGCCGGTCGCCTCTGAATTATGTTGGCAGCAGCTGCTGGCCGGAGGACGGACCTTGTTCCTTGCCTTATTTTGGTTTTCATATTTCACCATCGCGGCAATTAGGGAATTATCTCTGGTATATCAGTGACTATATCCACAGATCCACACTGGAATCTATTTGCCGTGAACAAACCCGAAAGCAAACAGAAGACAAAACCGAATCTGAACCCCGAACCCTCTGAAACAAAACCAAAGTGAAAATGTGAACCAAATCAGAACAGTTTACATATCTTCTTTTTTTTTTTTTTGGTTACTCTGCAAATAATAGAATGGTGTCTCTATTTCTTGGTTTTTTGTTTTTATTTTTATTTCTGTTTTTTTTTTTATTACCAGCTAGAGCAAGTCCTTAGCTTGTTTGCCAAGTTGTTGCCACAGATACGAGATTGAGAACTATTTGCCCATGACAATGTTTGTGGCTGATGCCGTTGATAAAATTATGAAATTACTAGAGTGCTTCGTGTTTTGAGTTTCTGGTGAAATCGGTGTTGTTATCTGTTTTGTCTACCCAGAACAATACACAAATATGTATATATTCTGCCACTAAGTGTTAATGGCACGTGCAGCCATCCAGGTTCTAAGCAGGGCCCAAAACAGAAAAAACATAAACAATGCCTCAGACAGAGGTTACCCATCCTCACCAGAGAGTGTCTCTTCCCCCCAAAAATAGGATTTTTCCGCCCGTTCCAGGACCACCAGGCTACTTTAAATTCCACGCCATCGCTTGTATTTGTCAGGGCGGTCTTTATGAATATAAATACGTTTTATCGATTTTTGCTCTGCTCCTGGCCTGGCTATCTTAAAGCCTTAAAGGCTCACATCCAGCTTGGGGAGTTGCCAGTGCATTGTCCGCAAATCTCTGCGAAATTGCTCACATATGTCATCGCGTGCCAAGCAATAACAAAGATCACATCCGAATGGGCGTTGCAAGTACCATATAAATTGCACTGGCTGACCATTGCAAATCAGTGGTGATATGGTAGTAATTGGATGGTTTGAAATTAGAGGGTGACGCCAAGAAAAATGCTGTACTTTAAATAAAAATAGTTAGTTTTGGAGATAAACAAAAGTTATTTGATTTTTAAAGAAAATTTTTTGAAATTAGTAAATTATATAAAAGGATAGTTGCTTTTGCCCCACGGTTAACCACTGTAACTAGCACAAACTCTGCCACTTATCAATCCATCTGCTCAGCTCTATCTCTGGCCCATTCCTCTTGGCTCTGGCACTGATTTCGTTTATATAAATTATAATGTCATTATGGCAACCAGCCACAGCCACAACCCTCAATCACCGCCCCCAATATCCCCCTTTAGCTCGTCCCGGGCTGAAGCAAAGCAATTACCTCGTTGCAGAAGTTCGTCGGGAAAACTTCATTGCGGATTGTCTCTCCGGCTCTCCAGCCATCCAGCTATCCAGCTCTTCGGGTTTCCGGCTCTTTTCTCATTATCCGGGCATCGTGCAATTTCGTAAAAATGTCGCATTAGAGATTATCTGAGGAAACAAACTTGTCCGTCGGACAGGACGAAAAGGCAAGGACTATGGCTCCCTTGGCCGGTTTTTGTGGGCTGACCCAATGGCATCAGAGCCAGAATTCGAGCTGACAGTCGAGCAAATTACTGGCAGACCCATTGCAGTGGAAAACTACAAGCCAAGTGAAGCGAACTGGAGACAAAACATTTGGGAAAAATCTAGTCTGGACACAAAAACACATCCATGGGGAGATGGCTCCCTATCCTTTCGTCTTTTTCTGGACGGTGGTCTTCCCTTTTTTTTGTCTTATCTGCAGACCAACTAATGAGTTTGCCTGGTTTTTGGCCAGGACTGGTTTTCGGTCCGGTGCCATTTGGCCAAGAGTTGCTACTTATTCGGGCTTGGGGCATGTCAATGTGCTTTCCGAGATTTTTATGCCAGAGAAATCTGGTTGGTCAAGTGCCTGGAGCTCATTATATGGCCATAACATATGTGCCGGCCATTGTCTGCCTAGGAAGCCAAAGGCTTAGGCCATTCGGGACATAAAAATTAACTCCCATTGCCGTTGCCTAATTTTCATGACTGGAATTAGCCTAATTTGTGCGAGGGTTGGATGTGAAGTTTTTGCGGCATATGGCGAACAATTTCCACGGACATCAACACCTTTCCTCAGAATGCCACCAAATGTAGCATGAAATTGGAAAAATGTTTATTTGCGGTGGAGGGATGTCCAAGTGTTTAACCCTTTGGTGGCCCACAAGCAGTCAGTGGTTTACAAAGAAAGCAACTCTCGTGTCAGGATTGTGGGTTACCAAAGGGTTCTCGAGCCACCAAGGGGCCCCGGCCATCAATTCCAATCTCAATTCCAATCCCGATTCCGATCCCAATCCCAATCCCAATCCCAATTCAACTGTCACATTAATCGTTTGTTTTTGGTCACAAAATTCAGCAACTAAACGTTGCTTATGCTTGACATTTTCCTTTTCCCATTTTCCTCCCTTTTTTCGGGGCGTAGGGCCATCCTTTGTCAGCTAGTCCTGGGCTCGTCCTTTATTTCCAGTGTGTGTTTGTTTGTTTTGGTCTGGTGAGGTTTTCCTGACTGGCAGTGGCCGGTGAGGTTTCCTCTGACAGTCTCCGTCTGCGTCTCCGGGTGCGGATAATTTATTGCTCCGGCTGCCGTGTCGTGTGTCAAAAGTTTTTATGTGGAAATCTGTCTATGAATGAATCGTGTGTGTGTGCAGGACGTTTTCTAAATCCAAAGAAAAAAAACCAAATCATGGCCAGAGCGAAAAATATACATTTCCAATTTTTGTGCAGTTTCATTCGGCAACCCCTCGTCCGATTGATTAATTGTGACCGCCTCCAGGGAAGTGTTTACTTTTGACTTTTGTTTGGGTAATCACAATAGTCGCCAAGTCAAATAAATATCCCATTGCCCGTTTATTTGCCCAGCCCGGCCAGAGAATCGGATAGAGCCACTGCAAAATGGCTGCCAAGGAAAATAGAAAATTCATAAAACCGAAAGTGACGCCGACACTTGTTGGTGACACAAAACGCTTGACATGTGCAAAACGCTTAAAACAAGCGAACGCCCACAAGTATTGACACTTGCCACTCACTCACACTCTCTGAGCTGCGGATTCACATTCTCAAATATACAGATACAATGCCAGATACAGATACAAAATTCCCGTTCCCACTCACAAACCTTGAAAACATTGTAAAACTCAGGCGACAACTGGCCGACAAATGTCACCGCCAACTGACAGACGACGACAATTTTTCCGACCTGTCAGCCAATGAAGAGCAACAAAAACACAAACAGCCGCCGAATGCAGGAAAATCAAACTCAAATTAGTCGCTGGCCAAAAGCAAAATACACCAGTTTGCTTCGAAATATTTAAACAAATAAAAATCGCCCTGCTACGTGATTTTCGCTGCGTTTTTTCCCAAATTCTCAGTCATTTCTTTCTTTTTTAGTTTGTGTGTTTTTAGAGCGTGTCGTTAGGAAAATATTTTTACGATACGAAAAATGGGCGATGACGACCCATTTAGCTCAGGTCGGGAATCGGATTTGGAATGGGACCAGTACCTATCTATTAAGATCCATTCAGCTGTGTCTCCACTCGAAAATTGCACTGAGGCGTTTACTAAAAAATGAAATTCGAAAATGGGAAAAAGATGCACTGGAATTGGTGCGGAAAGTTTCGCATCGTATTTCTTTTTAAAGTGAGAATCAGGCCTTTTAGGAGATGCTATAGTAATAATATATTGGCTTTATCAATTATGACAAAACAATCTTAATGAAAATTATAGATACTTCCATAAAAAAAGCGACCTGTTTGTTTATAAAATTTCCGCCCAACATCCACGAGACTCATAATAAACCAATGAAATTTTAATTACCCTAGAAAACACTTATTAGAAGCCATAAAAATACTTTCCACAGGAAAATTCTACTTTCGAACGGCATGTGAGGCTGTTGTCGGCGGCATAAATTATGCAACTCGCCGTAAACTAATTGAGTCATGGGCCACTTCCGAGGGGCTGACATTTGTGACTCCTCGGGGTTCTCTGCTCCTTTCCCCAAAAATTCAGAGCAAGGAGCAGGCTAATTGTTTCTAAAATGTCGCCACGGGTGTTTTTCCGAGTCTTGCCGTGCTTGGCCCTTTAGAAACCACATTAAAACGACAGCATGTGAGAAGCGCATAAATTATCAGTCGGTATGCAAAGGAAGCGGGTCCAGAAGATTTAGGAGGAAGTCGGGACCCGGGGACCTCGGGACCATATGGGTGCACACCTACATACTTCACCGGAAAACCCCCAGAAATCAATTGCCATGGTCATAAATCTGTGACGCGAAATCGAGTCCAGGGGGAATCATGTCAATGGCTGACTAATTAATATGAAAATAGGCGTGACTAACTATGGCAATTATTGAGTGGCGTTCCTTGACTCATTTAGCGCCGGTAGATTTATGGGGCAAAAGCGTATAAAAAGGCCATTCCCAAGATTAACTCCCGGCATGGCAACCCTTTAAGCACGCACTGAAGTTTTATAATCTTGCCCCGGGGCACACTGCTCTCTTGCAACAATTAAGTTGGTCTTCTCCAGAAGCAATCCGCATTTTAATCGGGCTAACCAAGAGCCCATTTGAGGCTGCGGAGCCATAAATCCTTTTATGAGCTTTTTTATGGGCTCCTCTTTTCTGGTCTAGGACAAGAAAGGTTCGCGTTTTGTTACATTAAAACTTCAAGCTTATATATCTTTAAAAATGTATAGTTTTAAGCTTTTTTCAAACATTGGTTTAAAACATAAATTTTTTTGTAATTTTCTCTTGCCCTGTGCTGGCTTGTTCTTTTCAGTTTGGGCCGAAACTGGCGATTTTCGTGATAGTCATAGCTCCATGACCGCCGTAGCAAATAGTTTGGATAGCACCCACTTGAACAACTTTCAGACGTCATCGACATCCTCGCTAACGAACCGGAATCGGGATCGCAAAGATGGTAAGTGCTTCGAGTTCCGAGCCCCAGCCAGCCGTAACCGTAACCCCAAACCCCCCAAAAATAATCGTTATCTGTACGGTCACATCGATAAGAAACATAATTTATAATAATTTCGGAAAGCGTGGCCAACGATTCCACCTTTGTCGGCGAAATTTACTCACCGGAGTCCGTTTAGTTTTCGATTAGACTGCCTTTGATTTGCGACCTCACGACGGCAGCGACAGAAAAAGTGAGACGGGAGAGTCGTAGGAGAACTCTGATATTCCACGGGGGCAGCAGTAATTTAGTTTATTTGATTAAGTTTTCGGCAGTTGGGTTTCGGTTACAGTGTTTTCGCCTTCTGCTCGACGACAACACAGAAAGCATGCCGCATGATCGATGACAACGGGGGGAACATACATTAACTGGTTATAAATCTGTTCGCCGGCGGTCGGGCCTTTGAAGTTTTCGGCTGTGCCGGCCTGGGCTGGGGCGGTGGGAAGGTGGTGGTACTGGTGGGTGGGTGGTTTATGTTTGTAGGCGACGCCTGAAGGTTGCATGGCAATTAGTAACGGTGTTCCGATGACGCCAGAAATCAGAAAAGAAAGAGAAAAAACAGAAGCCGTTCAGGAGACATTTCCCTCGCGGGCTTATCAACTGTGTTAACCCGAGCAAACCCAGACGGACGGCATAAAATAGCTTAGCGCCTGCAACCGCTGAGCAAACACATTAGACAACAGTCTGCTAACACGATCCTAACCCACTATATCCACACGGGAATACACGTTGTAATACATGTTGTAATAGATAGTCCTATTGATCTATGTGCACTTTTTAATGTTTATTCGTCGTCCGTCCAGGCAATCGCAGTGTAAACGAGACCACCATCAAGACGGAGAATATATCCAGCTCCGGGCATGACGAACCAATGACCACCAGTGGCGAGGAGCCAAAGAATGACAAGAAAAACAAACGCCAGAGGCGCCAGCGAACCCACTTCACCTCGCAGCAGCTGCAGGAACTGGAGCACACATTCAGCCGGAATCGGTATCCGGACATGTCCACACGCGAGGAGATCGCCATGTGGACCAACCTCACGGAGGCCAGAGTTAGGGTGAGTAATCACAAAACATATTTAACTATTTTAACTATTTAAGTTAAACTCTAATTTATAAATACTATTTAATTTCGCTCTCTAATTTTTTCGACTGTTCAACATCATTATCGAAACTGAAGCGCAAATTAATTGCCAGCCAAGCCGCAAACAGCAAACGGCAAACAAACGCATCTCCAGCTGCCACATTATGTGGCCATTACCGTCCGGCCCCAATTATATTACGGGCCGCAGGAGTCGCGACCGCAATGCAGCCGCACAGACTCGTAAATATGTCGCCCGTTTGGCAATGGCTTAAACCCCGATGGCCAATACACGTACTCGGCCCCAAAAAAAGTGGACGAAGAACCAATTTCCCAGCGCCTGTCTGGATTTATGGGTGGTTTCCCACAAAGGGCCCGTGTGGGGCTGGAGAGGGTGTTGCCATAAATTGCCGCAGCTAAACTGCAGTTGGCAGCGTTTGCAGCATTTGTTGTTTGTAAACCACGGGCTTATCGAATGTCCGACCTCAACTGAACTGCATCGAACGCGTCGAATGGCGCGAAATCGAAGTGTTTGCTTAATATCCGTTCTATTGACATGAGCTCAGACGATTGTCCATGTTAGAGATACAAATGTATCTATCATGTGGCATACCTTTTATCACAGTGAGATCACAGCGAGTGTAGTATAGAAAAGTAATGCAAGATTATAAACTTAAACAATTTGTTATTTTTTGAGCAAAAAGTATTTTCGATTAGGATATACTTCTCAAGAGACTTTAATACTTTCAAAGGATTTATTTTATTTTATTTTGGTGGTATCTGGTAGACTCTTCAAGTCACCTACATCTGATTATCTTTGCGTAATTGGGAAGGAAAGTACAAGTCGTACAAGATATCTTACTCCTCACAACAGTTGTAATTGTTTGTAAACACGATAGTTAGTTCGGTAAACAATTGGAGTTGTGGCGCCAAGCGGCAAACACTCGCATGGTAGCCGAGTCCGATATCGAAGATATCACCGTGTCTATGTATCTGGGTGTATCTATTCCCACTTCACCAGACTGACGATCGGGCCGACGAGGAAGCGACAGCGACAAGATATGATAGACAAATGATCGATGATCCCCGATCACCGATCGCTGATCGCTGATCATTGTCATTGGACGTATGGCGACAACAGCGTGGCATTAATTGTACAGTTAGAAGTGGCCCGGTTGAAACTGGAATGGGGGCTATCATTGCGGACATCTGCGAAGATAGAGCCTTGGCAAATAGCTCATGGTTTTTCTATGCAAATTTCCCGAACCAGGCATATGCCAAGAAAATGTCTCCCAAACTGCACTTGACAGCATTTATAAAGAAATTAGCTGCGGCCCGAAATGAGTGGGCCTCCCCCTTGGCAGTTCGAAACGATGTCTATCTAAACATGTGTTCCTCGAATAAAGCAGCTAAATGCATAAAATATTGATACAGTTTGTTTTATGGTCCATTATATGATGATGACAAAACGGTTTGCTCGGTCTCCCTGCTTCCTGGTCGACTTCATCCCTTCCAGAAATGCAAAACAATGCCTTGGACAATTTGTCATCGCGTCGAGCGAGGGTTGTTTAATGAATTAGAAAACCGCACAGGAATTAATGATGATCGTGATCATGCCTTTGCCGCCGCTTCCAGCTTCCAGGGGTGGCTCACATTTGACTTTGACTTCGACTTGGGATGCCCATTGTAATAGCGGAGGCAATAAAATTTATCAAATATACAAAAGGATTACAGAGCAGTGCAACTCCGGAGCCGTATAAATCTGGCCGGGCTTTAAACTGTCAAAAAAGAGCAGCCCCGTCGTCTGGGTGTGGCAGACTCACAAACTCACAAAATGTTTCTGAATGCGAGTCTGAATTGCAGGGGAGAGTCGTTTCTTCGGGCCCTGATAGCTACTAATCCCGGGATTTACATTCGCCGGCAATTATGGCAATATGTTCGTTCGCCCGTCTCATTGTCTCCTGTTTGCTCGTCTCTCTTTTATTTTTTAATGTGTCAAATAGAGCTCACTTTTTAATTCAATTACCAGCCAAGGACTGGCCAAAACAAGGCCCATATAACCATTTGCCCGCTGCCCTCAATCCGAAATAGAATCGGCCTGGAATGAGTCTCTATGGGGTTAGACAGCCAGTTCATTTTTTGCTATCCTTGTCCCTGTTTATGGTCAGGTGTTGCCAATGGCCTGGAAACGGGAAACGACACTTGCCAATCGCTGAAAGTGAATAAAAAAGCCATTGAAAGCGGCCACAAAGGAGCCACAATATGTTTGGTTAAATTGGCTGCAGTTCGAGTGGTTTTATTTGTGAAATAAAAAGGGAGTAGAAAGACAAAAGAAATGTCCTTAAAAAATACTATTTCGGGGAAAGCTAGTTACCTTTTAAATCAATCAATGTGTTGAGAATATTATTTAATGTACTGATTGTTTAAACCTTTTTAGTTATACTTTTTTAGCGATTTCCCTGATATAAATGCGATTTTGTTGGCATATGTGACCTATATCTCCCAGCTGTAGTCGAAAGTGAGACTACCAATTAATACTGACTATACAAACAGTCGCAAAGTACACAAGGAGACATTCGCTGCGTGGAGTAGTTCACGTATCGATGTTATCTGACCCTAACCAACCGATTTTCACTGGGACTATCAGCTGGGAGAGAAGAACCCCGGAAATGAAAACCCGGGCCATTTCACACAAGCAAATAAAAAACGTATTTAGCTGCAATTTGCGGCCATCAATCATGAGAGCTCGGAATAGACAAAAAAAGGCCCTAACTTTTGCCACATGGCCACTTTTTGGCCACTCATATTCGAGGAGGTTGTTTTTTTTTTCTTTCATCCTTCAAAGTCCACAATTTACCTGATGAAGCGTTGCAGGAGCCGTCGAGTGTCATTGATGCTTTCATCAAAACCAATTAGGATTTTCTGCAGGACTCTGTGCCGTTGAGTGGAAAATTGCGCTGCTTTTTTCGCCACTCTCTCATATTTCACTTTTTCACTTTTGCGCAGTTTCCCCATTTTCCCTTCGTTTTTTTCCATCAACAGGACATCAATTTGCCATCATGCCAACCTCTTTTCCCCCCGTCAGAACTTTCCATTTTTTCGATTTGCCGATTTTTTTGTTCCTTCGTTTTTTGCAACTTTAGCAACTTGCTAAATGATACGTGAAAATGACAGCTGACGAGATCGATGACGTTAGTTTTGCATCCGTGATGATGTAGGAGATCCTTGAGCTCCTGATGATGCGATTCCTACCAGGATGCTGACTCTGATGATGATGGGGCTGAGCGATGTACCTTGACAAATTGACACATTGCCTTCCTGCTTTGATTTAAGGGGTTTCCGTTCTCACGTCCTGGGAAAAGTTTCCTCTCCACTATTCGGCTCTACTGGTCCTGGCTCATACAATTTCAATTACCTGCCGCAGCTAATTAGATTAGGGCAATTGCCGTAATAAATTGTTTTGCTGGCACGCGGCCATAGTTTTCCGCCTGCTCACTTGTTAGTTGGCTCGAAATGTCTCAATTTGGCCTTTCCCAGGCGAAAACAAACATTTTTTGCATAGATCACCGCGTGTCGACTTTAGTCACAGCCACACAGAATGATATCGGCAGGATATACAACCGCAGCAAAAGGATGTGAGGAAGGGGGTGGCAAGCTGCATTGGCCATAAATCTGTAACCCCGCAAGCTGAAAACCGGCGCGTTGATTTAGGGACAATGTGGCAATGCGGCAACAAGCCGATTGTTAGGACAATGTTTCCATGAAATTCCGATTTGAAGCTTTAATTGCCCCAACGAAGTGTGTCCGTATCCGTATCGGCATTTGTGTGAGAAAGTCACTGCGCGAATGTATCTCAAGTTGGCCTTAAAGCTCGAGAGCAAGAAACTCATCAAAATGCTGCCAACGTCTGCGCAGCTCTTTGTCATTTGTATCTCTGTATCTGAGTATCTTTGTCTGGGCCTCCTAACGCCTCCTCCCTCCGCCCAAAGACATCTCTATCTGTATCTCTGCAAACTTCAGCCATAAATTACAAAGTTGCCATTTTGTTTTTATCTTCTTTTTGGGTGCTCGCCTTTGTTTTTTTTTTTGTGCACTTTCTGTGTGCAAATAATTTTAATTTATTTTTACGCCCTCGCAACTTTTTTGCCCCCTCGGCCGCCTCGCTTTCGTTCCCGGACTTTTTGGTGGTGGCAAGCCGAGTTTATTTATATAAAGCTCTCCATTAAAAAAAGGCAACAGCAGCAGCGGCCCGACTGGGAGTATTTATGTATATATTTGTATATTTATAATTACTGCACATGCGTATTTGGGGGAGTCGTTTTTTGGGGAAGGTTTCGTCTGCCCGTTCAGATACATAAATTTTCAAGTAATAAATTATAAAAGAAAATGGCTGACTCTGCAGGTTGAATGCGCGGTGGGTTAACGCGAATTCCCAGAATAAATATTTTAAGATAATTTAAGCGAGCTTTAATCTTCAAAAGCACATAACCAAATGAGTTCTAAGTAAATCTTGGCAATGGTTCTTTTGTCTTGAGGTTTCTAGCTTCTAATTTTCTTGGTAATACGATTAAAAATGATAAGCACTTTATTTTTATAAATATCCTTAATAAACTAATTTAAAATATCTTTTTTTTTTCTCTTCTCCAGGTGTGGTTTAAGAACCGTCGGGCCAAGTGGCGCAAACGGGAGCGCAACGCCATGAACGCGGCAGTGGCGGCGGCGGACTTCAAGTCCGGATTTGGAACCCAGTTCATGCAGCCATTCGCCGATGACTCGCTGTACAGCTCGTATCCGTACAACAACTGGACTAAGGTGCCCTCGCCGCTGGGCACAAAGCCGTTCCCCTGGCCGGTCAATCCCCTCGGATCGATGGTGGCCGGCAATCACCATCAGAACTCGGTGAACTGCTTCAACACGGGGGCCAGCGGGGTGGCGGTAAGCATGAACAACGCCTCGATGCTGCCGGGGTCGATGGGGTCGACGCTCTCCAACTCGACGAATGTGGGGGCGGTGGGCGCCCCCTGCCCGTACACCACCCCCGCCAATCCGTACATGTACCGGGCCGCTGCCGAGCCGTGCATGTCCTCCAGCATGTCCTCGAGCATCGCCACGCTCCGGCTAAAGGCCAAGCAGCATGCCTCCGCCGGGTTCGGTAGCCCCTACTCCGCCCCCTCGCCGGTGTCGCGATCGAACTCCGCCGGACTCTCCGCCTGCCAGTACACGGGCGTGGGCGTGACGGACGTAGTCTGAGAAAACGCTCTGGGTGCCCTGCTCAACCAGCACCAGCACCACTTGCAGCACTTCTCGGGGGGATCCGGGGTCAATTCCGGAGTGTCGCACAACGGAATGCAGCAGCACGGCGGCAACATGTTGCACCACAACAGCAATAGCGGCAGCCTCCTGCTGGACCACTCTGATCTGGGCCTGGGGGTGTCTGCCGTGTCCGCCGGCGGCAATCCGGACGAGGGCAACCACAACAGTCTGGAGGGCAACAACAAGTCCCCGCTGGACGCACACGGCACGCCCCTGGCCAACAGCAACGACAACGATGACGAGGACGTCATCGATTGAAGGATCTACTTAAATCAAACTAAAGGCAGAAACCCTAGACCTAAGCATTCATTATTAATTTAGATGTTACAATTAAAGATTAAATTAATATAATAGTTCGAGAAAAGGAGAGTAGGAGTAACCCCAATCCAAAGAGCAAATTTTTTGAGAACAATAATTAAATTAAACCAAACAAAAAAAAGAAAGAGAAATGGATAATCGAGGTATTGAAATTCTGTTTTATTTGTGTTGAGATTAAATGCTAATTACGTTCTAAATCCCCCAGCTGAGAGAAACCAAAACAGAAATTAAGTGTTTTTGTAAATAAAAGCAAATATGTAGTTATAGGGAGCCGCAGCCTAACTAATCAACCAAATAGCCAGCCCAAAGAACATACGATTATAATCAACTGTCCTAGTTCCGATTTCCGTTCCCCATCTTATATCTTAAAATATATAAATATAAATATATATGCAAGAAACGTATCAAGATTGTAAACAAGCTTAAGCTGATAAGCCTAAAACTAAACACAAAACTAAAACTATATCAAAGCAGTAGCAGTTTTTAAGGAGTTGTCTAGTCGTATTGAAATCCGCCGGAGTCGCGCCCGCAATGTCATATATGTACTTGTCGGTCTGTATATGTACATGTAGATCCCCACTAAAGAGCCCCTTATAAATATAAACTATTTAATAATTGTACACTTAATATTACTAGTTATAGAAATTGAATCAAAAGAACAATAAAAATTATGAAAAAAACTGCTTCCTGACGTCAATGAATGAATTACGAGGGCAAATTGCGGTCAACCGCTGGGATAATGAATGGCTTTGTTCCCAGTGGGGAAAATGAAAAAATTAAAAAATCAAATTGTAATTTACAGCCTCCAGGGGGGCGGACCACTGGGTGGGGGTGATATGCCAATCGTTTGTGTTTTTTGGGGGAGGAAGACCCAGAACTTAATTTAAGGAGAACTTCCACTGAAACTTTTCTACCCCCCCAATGGGTGGTGGCGGGCAAGTGTTTAATTCCAAGGTGGACCTGGTGCAAAAATATCCATCCATCAATTTATTCATTACAGGGAAATTATGTCGCATTTATATGCACCCCGCCGACCGCCAAGTGACAACCCCCCGGAAAATCCCCGCACAATAAAAATAATAATAAAAGGACATCCTCGGTAGCGAAAGTTTGAGGCTCGAGGGGTTGCTTTCGAGCTCCGTTCGGCCATCAAATTTGAATTTCATATGCTGCCCGCCTTGATTGAAGGCGGCTAATAAAGTGGCAGTCGGGCTGCCGAGGCGGGCGGGGGAACTGGGATTTCCCGCTGCGTTAAGCATCCATTAGGCGGATGGTGGGGGGTTGGGCGGTAAACTGTGACCCAGCGACCATTTGATTTATTTTATTCGCCTTTGCCCGCTGTTAATGTTTTAATAAGATTGATTTTATTGCCGCCCCCAACGATCTGCCCGGGCGTCAAAGGGTTAATAAGATGCCTCCAGCTGTTTTAGGAACTCTATTATTGTCTGAACCATAACCCCATTCTGGGATAAACTCCACTCGCATTTTCAACAGTGCCAACTAAAGGAATCGAGAGCGTGTATCTGTATCTGCATTTGCCAGTCGTATCTGCACACTCGCGTAATTAACTTTTCGGCGTAATTAATGCCGAGCCTAATTATTGTTAATCAAGCTCAGGCCGTCAACCAGCCAGCACAGGCCGCATAATGGATGAGCCGCAATTAAAATCAACTTCCTATATAGATGTGTGCCGTGGAGGGGCGAAAGGGGATTGGCAGCCTAGGTTTGAGATAGCTTCGTGAGTCACGAAATGGAATCAAATATTTTATAATCTACTTTTAAACATTAAACATTAAACATTAATATTCGTAATACCATTAAGTAAAAATATTTTGTAAGTAAACCCATATGGTAAGTAAGAATTAAATATTCTTGGTTTGGCTCCACGGTTTGGCAACAAAATTGGAATATTGAAGCCAATCTAATATGAATGTGCTTATCTTTAGATACAATTTCTTTACGTTTTTTTCTGAAGTGTATAATTTTATGCCACTTGGAGACGTTTTCTTAGCAACTTCTTGGATTGCTCGCGCAGAATGAAAGCGCCATCTTGAAACTGTCTTAAGACACGACGCATGCTGTCAGCCATTACTTGGTTAACTCCCCCGCAGCCCTCTTCTAACCACTTCTGCAGACCCTTAACTGTAGAAACATACATATATACATATATAATCAAAGAACCAGTCGAGCAACCAAGCAACTTGTTTCTACTTTTCCCCACCGCTTTGGCTGATTCCCCATCATTTACTTTGTCAGTATGCGGCAGCTCCATCATTATTATTGTGGGTCCGCCTCTTTGCTTTTGTTACATACAAACCCGTCATCGTAATCATCGTCATCATCATCTGTAGTCTTGGATGCTGTATTTTTCCCTTAGGTACTTGTCTTTCTTAACTCATTGCGTTGGCAATAAATCTTCGACGCTCTTATCTGCCAGGCACACTTTGGGTACTGACTTTCGCCCACCACCCACAGCCCAGCTCCAGGCTGACTTTCACTTGGCCATATGTCAAGTGTTCTCTTTTTTTTTGCTCCACCGGAGATCTATGACACCTGCTTAGCCAAAGGGTTTGCAGCTTAATGAGCTCCAGGTTTAATATTCAATTCCTGATGAGCTGATTTTACTGCAGCAGCTTTAAGAGAATGAAATATTAGCTCGGAAAATCTGAATAATTGCCACCTTCACTTTGGATTTCCCAATGAACAGAAACCGAGATAATACCACCGACTGTCCCAGCTGTTTCTCGGCCATTTATGGCCCAACACAAACAACAACAGAAACAAAAGCTTGGGCCAAAAGGCCGCCATAAAACACATCTCATATTTGACTGGCCTTTATTTATTTCAAATTTACTTGTTGGCCATTTTATGATGCCAAATTTTGACCTAAAAATCATAAAAATTGTAATCAAAATGTTGGCCTGCTGCAGCACAGTTTATGGCCAGCTGGAAGACGGGCCCTGGAATTGGTCAGGAGGAATTCTAATAACGTCTAAGCGCAAGTCCAGGGGAAAAGAAGCTGAAGGCTCAACGCTTATGGCTTTTTAATGGTGCCGTGTGTTGGTTTTGTGGCAAATAAAATGGCGCACATTAAAAGCAGGCCAGCAGGAAACGGAAGGGGATCACCAGAAGGGGAGGAGAAGGGGGTCTTGGAGGAGTTCTGCCAATTGCATTGGCCCCCGGGCTCAGGCCCCTCGACCTCCCCTTTATATTGGGGTCATGCATGGCAGCTCCGGGTAAATAAAAAATACATAAAAATATTTTACGAGCCAAGGCCCGGGAATAGAAGGAATAGAGACGGTGCCCAAGGAGCTGAAAATTATAGGATAGATTCAACCAGAAGGGGACAGCGCAGCGCGATTGCAATAAAAATGGCGGCAAATAAAATTGACAATATTGTCATGCGCGCGATTTCATGCCAGGCAGTGGCAATCCTTGGACTTGGCAACAAAATGAGTAAATTTTAATTTACTTGAAAGGCATAAATAAGCCCAACAAGGACGACAAGCGTGGGGGAAGGGGGTGCTTTGATGGGCTGTCTAATGGCCGGGTGCCTATACATCGAAACAATAATTTCCTGAGGTTAACAAAAGGGTAATAATTTATGGGCTATAAATATAAAATATATAAAAGCAATGAGCTATATTAAATATATAAATTTTTATTACTAGTGAACCTAGTAGAGTTACTATTTTCGTTTAATTTTCAAACTATTTAAATTGTAAGGTAACTTGCCAACTAAATAAACTTTTGGATGAATTTATAAATTTCTTAAAACATTTAAATTATAGTTCATAAATTTCTAAACAATTTAAAGTTAAAAAATTATCTAGACTATTCGACTATCTTGGGATCGTATTATATTTATATTCTCACTTTTTATCTAATACATTAATTATCCTGTTTTATCTTGGGCACTAAACTTTTATAGATCGCGTGAATGCTTAGAAACTACATTGTAGGAAAAGCCGGCGGCAAAACGTGAACGATTTTCCCTCTATCTGGAAACCCCATTCAGAAGTGCCCCCCACCAAATCCTGTGCCTTCGCGGGTTGTTTCTTTTAAGAGTGTGGAGCCAATGATTATTCCGGGTTTTGTCATTTCAATTCGCATTATCCTATGCACTTATTTTACTACTTTGTGCTCTGCTGCGTGTACTTCTCCGCTCCAGCCCTTCTGCCCTGCCTTTCAAACTGAACGAAAAGGTCCTGGAAAAAGGAAGAGGAAAAGGATGAGGGTGTGTTTGTGTAATGGCGGGTTGCGGGTGCTCCTCACCCCTATTAAATCCCCCTCGTCCTCTCAGCCGTCGAGTAACTCGTATTGTCATTGTGCAAATAAAATATGTCACGAATCTCCCAACCCACCTTCCTCCTGGATGTGCTTTTTGGGTCCACCCTGAAGGGAAGGAAAAAAAGGAAGAAAACGATACACGCCCCCTGCTATGTGTGCTTGTGAGTGTTGGTGTGTATCTAACCTTTTGTGCCCATTCTAGTCCTTTGTACAGGATTCACACAATGAGAGCAAATGTTTTGGCTGCTTACGAACATAAAGAAATGAGAATCGCTTTTATATAAACTTGGATGAATGGGAACGGGCGGTTGATGTGGTTAAAGAGTCAGCTAGCCCTGATTCAGGAGTACACAGCAAACAATTTCGATTAACTATTTAATCATTCCATAGTATTCTCTACCCAAATAGCGACTTCCATCGCTGCTTGAAAAATCAATTTATCACGAAACCCCTTCGATTGTCGGAATCCACAAGTGATCAAATCTAATTGGCCTTTATTTTTAGCCAGGAAACTCTTTCATTTCACCCTTTTCCGACCTCCCAGAAATTCACAAAAACGCTTTTCACTTGACAAGCCAGGGAAATAAACAAACTACACGGAAAGCCAAATCTAAATCCATGATTTCAGCTGCCAAATCCTTTTCAAAGCTGCAACCAGGTGAAAAATAACGAAGTATTGTATTTTTCATACATTTTTATAAAATATAAATACACGTTTGCGTGGGTGTCTGTGACTCGCTGTGTCTGCATGTGTGAGCCAGCCACTACTACACAAGTTTATAAAAGACACTCGCCTGTGCCCGTCCCCTTTCTAGTTGGCTTTCCCCATGGCTTTCTCTTTTCCTCCAATCTTTTGCCATTGAGTGCTTTTTGGCTAAATGCGAAATCGATTGGAAAACAATTTCCAATTTTTAAAGAATTATCGCCGCCATATTCGCGCATGCTGTACTAAATCACACATAAGTAACCTCTAAATCTGCTACCCAGGACCCAAACACACTCACACACGCACATATGTTTGGCAGGGGGTGCACGGCAGGGTGGGGGATGGTACAACCTTTTCGCAAGCTTTTCCTTTTTTGCTCGTTTATTTTCTTTTATTTTCCTTTTTTCTAGCTCCAGCAATATTTTCCATTTCATTTTCTGCGCGGTTGGCAGCGCGTTTAGCTTCGGCTGCATGCCTGACTGACTTTTTGCTATACTACAAAAAAATATATATATTTTTATATATATCCACATATAAATTGTACAGTGCCAGTCATAAAAATATATATTAATCATGGAGTAATGTGTTGACTTTTTATAAAATTTCGTGAGGCCAAAGGCAGTTCAACCAAAGGCAGTATCAAAATATACTATTTTTTGTTTTCCCAATATCTGAATCTATATTTTTAAACCACACTGTGCTCTTATATGTGTTATCTCCACCGCAATAGCTATTGAATGCCATGGAGAAGAGGGTTTTGGGAACAGGGGGAGCTGCCAACAAGAACCCGCAGCCATTTAGTTTTATGTGACCTGTTCGGTTGGGTTATTGCACCTTTGACTCGACTCGACATCTCCGGAATCTGAATTCGAGCTCCACCTTCGACTGGAGTTGTCACCCTTGAGGGCATGCAGAAAGCATTTCACATGTGAGCCATTTATTATTATTTGCTTTCAACGGGCGGGCCCGAGCCCGAGAGCAAAAGCCCGGGCCAGAGGCAAGTATTTCCTAATCAGGTTTTAACTACTAATAGGATTTCCGAGGTGGCGAATCGTAATTTACATGGCTTTGCCCCGAGATACCCAAAGAATTGAATTGGAAGCCAGAGCAAAGCTGCCGCTAATGTATTGCAGATTATGGTAAATCCCTCAGGCACTTCCCTACACCCACTGGCCCATCCACTCCATCCGTCCCGTCTAAAATCCGGGTTCGCACACGTGTCCTAGCACTGAGTGGATCCAACGGAGCCGCCACTCAAGTCCCTGAAGCGTCTGAAACGGGCCATGCTCCTGCGGTGCATGAAGCGCTTCACCTCGTAGGCCACGTTGCACGCCACCAGAGCCAGCATCAGAGCGGTAATGATCCCGGCGAAGATCAGCAGAAACCAGTGGAAGTAACAAGACATGGTCACTGGTCGTTTTAGCCAGCTGCTCCACGAGTCCATGCACTGCTCCTGGACACACCTGCCCCGGTGATTCCGTACACAGCCCTTGGCACAGCATCCATTGGCACTGAATCTGCCGCAGGTTGTCAGTACGGTCATCGGATTGGAACAGTTAGCAACCGACTCCGGCTCCCAGTCATCCACAGAACCTTCGGCGACCATGCTTAGCAGTTGGCTGAGAAGACAAGCCACGGTCAGATGATCAGCACCCATTTTTCACGATTTTTTTACTCCTTTTGCCTCTTGCAAAGCATCTCCAAACTCCGTAGAATTTTGAAACAACACACTAACATTTAAGGATAGATCTGGGTCTACTTGGGTTCACATACTAAGGCGTTTCATAGTTTTCAAGACAATATCGATTGAAATTCCTAAGATGCTTTAAGTTAGAGCACAAAGCACTCATCAGCACAAAAGCATAGTATATGTTAATTTTATTGTTGGTTTTATAATATTTTCAATACAAATATGGAAACTCTTAATTTTAAAATATATAAACTAAGAACTAAAAAAAATTGAAATAATATTTGTTTTCAATCCCTAATTTAATTTTTATTTTAGGACTACAAGTCAATGCGAAATAAATTAATTCTATTTTAAAGATTCGAGTATTGTAGAAATACATTTAAATACAAATCGTATGTTAACATTAACGCAATGTTAACATTTTAAGCCAAATTATAAAAATTATTCACTGTTAACATTTTTTTCTTTCTTTTTATTTCTTATTTTTGTTGGCTTCCAAATAAGCCTTTGCCTTCTGAATCCGGTCCCTCTCCTCGCGTTCCAAGATCTCGCGTTCCTCAGGATCCACAGGAGCAATATATTCCGGAGGATTGTCCCCATTTGGATTCGGGATAAAAGGGGCGTGGGGCCAAACCGTGGGTCTTGCCTGGAGAAGCCAAAGTTCATCCAACTGGCGCTGGAGTATGTTGACAGCCCTCTGGACGCGACTAGCCATGAAGCTGATGGATCCTAACCAGACGAAGGATAGCAATATAGAGCACACTATCACCAAGTAGTTTTGGGGAATTTGTTCCACCCAGCTGACGAATCCCGGATTATTCGTGACTTGGACCATGTCATTAGACTTTTGGCGAAATGAGGCACTACGCGGCAGTTAAGAAACTAAACCGAACTGGACCATGAGGTCCGACTTTATAGCTATTTTTTATCGCAAGATGGAAATGAGTTGCTCAAAAGAGTTACTCCTTGGGGAGAATTTTAAACTTAGAAATCTCAGGAGACCATTATAAATTTATTCAACAATATATGGAAATCGTGGCTTGTTTTCAGACCGATTCTTAGACCGATGCGGAGAAGAAGCGATAAAGCACTAGTAGTAAGCTCAGTTCTTAATTCTGAAATTCTCCACTCTGGAATCAACCTCACAGAATCTTACACAAAAGCTGATAAACAAAAAAAATGTTTCAAAAAAAGTACTAATGCTGATTATTGAACTTGAAAAGGGCTTTACTAATTCTGCCACAATTCCAAATTCTGAGGCGGAACTTAGATCCCTTCTTGATTGAATATGCCACATCAGCTAAAGCATGGCAACGAATTCGAAATTCACTCGAACGATTTCAAAGAGACCGTAAACCAAATCGGCATAATAAAGTGATTCTAATGTAATTCGTGATTTTGCATAATTATAAAGTTAATAATTAAAATTGTTGCGTGCACAAAACCGAAATGAAAACATTAAATTTTAATGACGGTTTTCGTCTCTTTTGGCCAGGCTAGGTGCATTGGTTATTTGGCATTTACAGGGTGGCTTACGGGTGGGACTTGCGAATGCCGATGAGCCAGCCCCCCTTGCTCCCGAAATGGGCAAATAACTAATGCGTAAATATTAGCAAATACCTCCCACTTCGCCCCATAAATTTGAGACACATATGCATTGCAATGCCGCTGTGTTTGTAATAAGCAATCAATTATTATTATTGAATTTCGGGCATGGTCAGGTGCAGCGGTGAGGCGTGGCGGGCGGGGCACTGGGGCTTCCACAGGCAGCTGGTCAGCGCCACTAATGCGTCTAATGAGAATTTAAGCACACTCCAGCCCCTCCTCCTCGCACCCGCCTCGAATTTTGCATGCATTTTCACTGGAGGAAACCAGGTACAGTTGTGTTCGGGTCGAGTGCAAATATAATTACATTCGGAACCCATTTAGCAGTATTTTGGTTTTGGCTTTTATATTTTCCCATATCCAATTTGTTAGCGGCGAAAGGCCCAAATCTGTGATTTGAGGGATAGCGAGGTAGCTTTTCAGACAAAAAGTCGGAAGTAAGCTGGATTTTGACCATCAAAATAATTTTAAAATATGATACAGAATTTTGGTAATGATCCTGTAAAAGTGAAGAAGTCAAATGAAAAATTATTTCAAATGAATCCATGTAAATCCAGGAAGAGGTATTAGCATTAAAATTAGTTTTTTAATAGAGAAACTATGCTGAAAATAATCAACTGATTTTTATAATTTGAGAATCAGAACCGAAATCTCCAATGAACAAAAAGAACACAATTTTCCAAAACTCAAATAAGAAAAAAATTTAAGAAAAATTAGATATTCGGTTTTGAAATTGAAAACTTTAGGAAGTAGTTCCCAAAATATAACTATATTCCCCAGATTGACCACGCCCCCGTTTCGCTGGTGTTTCTGTGACTCTGCTAAGCCCACATCGTTAATGATAATTTAATTATGGCCCAGCATTTCGGGCTTTGGCGATTTACGCACTTACGCCCTGGAAGCCTGCAAACGAGGGCCTGCGGCCTGGCTAATTGCAGCAAATCTGCTTGGGGTCAGTTAGCCGCTTAGTCGCGGCTCTTATTAACTGTTAATTGCAACAGAAGGAGGGGCGGTGGCGTGTTCGGCTGTGGAATTGGCAATCGCAATCAACTGGCTTTTCGCACAGGTGAACAGCATAAAACATAAAGCGGGCAAAGCCGCGAATATCGTCATCCATTTTCAAGATAGCACTCTGACAGTTCAGAAACACGATATGAACTTAATGGATTCGCAGGGGGAATTGTATTGTAATAATAAAACAAAAGTGTCAGGCAAAAGATATGCCCTTCGGATGTATGAAATCCATATTGAAAATTGATTTAAATTTTTAATAGGCATTGCCGTGGCTGCGCTTTGATAAAAATGCCATACACGCAACAATCGAACAATCGCCGGCTTACGCCGGAGAAAGATATCCTGCATATATCCTGAAGCACTGACGGGGGCTCTAGTTAAATATGGAAACAATATCGAAATATGCCAAACTGCACTGAATCGATGCGATGAAACTTGCAAGTGAATTGAAAATTCCGCCAGTCGAACACGGATGCGATATGAATATCTATATGGGCATTCGCATCCGTGCATTTATATTTGTTTTCGAAGCTGTCAAATCATATTTTAATCTGTTTTGATTGCTGACTTTTGTGCAAGGGATTTGTGCCGACTGCAGCTGCCACAGCGGGTTCGGCTGAAATGCAGCGGAAAATATTGCATTTTATTTTATTTATGCAACAAAAAAGAGCAGGAAAATAAAAGCAGATTTTGTATGGAAAGCTCGTGCTTCCCTGTCCCGACTTTCATCTTGATTTCTGCTCGTGACTCCAGAGTCCTGTATCCCGAATCCAGAATCCAGCGGGGATATGTGCGTTTTCCATTTGTTTCATTTGATGTGCCCCGAGTTAAGCAGTAAAATCCACTTTTTACGATTCCTCCGTTGGCCAGGACCCCTCACCGCTTCACCTACTCTGACCCTCCTTAAGAACTCCCCCGGGAGCTATGTGCCACCCGTATGCTCATAAGAAACACCAACATCTCGTGCTCAGACCCAGAAATTTGTCAATAACGTATTGCAAGCCAGAGGTGAGCCAAAAATTTTAGGAGTATAAAAAATCGGTTTACCTTTTAGATATAAAATAGACTACTTTATAAAATACAAACCTAGTTCCAAAAAAGATACTTGTTAGTTGGCTAGTTTTCAGGTTTAGTGACTAGATGGATCTCATCACTGGCTCCTTTGCTTCACAACCTCCTCCTGCTCTCCTCGCGGCTTTGGCAGTGACTTAAATACGCATAACCGTAGATGGCGCCACTGGTCGGAGGATGGCTCCTCGTCCTTTTCCGCATCCCTCTGCCCTGCCCGTCGCCCATCCTGGCTAGATTGTCAACATATTAGCTTCAAATTGCTAAAGTTCTGCGACTTTTGCTGTTGCCTCATTTTCTCACGCACGCATAGCAGCAGCCACTATCCCTATCCCTCTCCACCGGCAGGAGTCCGTCTCTTTCGTTCCGCCAGGATGACATGGTTGTTTAATGTGGTGTTGCCAACTATTTTAGCCAAAAGCTCATACGGGTTGCCAGCGACGGCCGGGTGATTTGCTTGCTTAGCTTAACAGGCCCGGACTTTTTGGGGACATGCTGGGAGGAGGGAGAAGTCCGTCCGTGTGTCTATCCGCATTCGTGTCCGGCTATCTAGCTATCCGGCTGCCCACTCCCATCTCCGGCGGCGGAGACGCTTTCGCTTTTGGCGCCTGAAGCGTTCGGTTGACATTCGTAAAATCTCTTAAAATCCCGAAGGTCGTTGCCAGGGATTTTCTCAGATTTTGCTAGATTTAAATGAATTAGTTGCTTTGGCCGGGCCGGGCCTGGCCGATTGATTTTCTGACCTTTTCGTTTTTTTTTTTTTCTGGCCCCTTCGCTCCTCTCAACGTTTGGGCCTTAAATCTGGAGCGAGTAGGCCAAAATGCAATTTGGCTTAGGAGCAATTGCAGCCATGACTCACCATTAACTGCAGTTGACCCCCGACCGTAATAATTTGCTCCCCAAATGAGTACAAATGGGTTGACTCCCCTCCTGATGGAGATGGCGCTAAATTAGACACGACGAAATGGAAAAAAATGTCCACTGCATTCTGCAAGTAATTAAAATATGAGAAAACATTTTCCAGGCATCCTCATAAAATATGCCCCAGTCAACAAAGGATCCCGTCCTGCTCCTCCAGCATGCAGTGGGCTCTGCTCCTTGTGGTCCTTTTCCACCGTTTGCTGGTCAGGCTGGTGGGCTTAAAAAAGCATCAAATTTCATATTCAAAATGGCACTTTACATGTTCAGCATAATTTATAAATGCACGCAGCAGCAGTAGCCGCAGGAGCATGGGCAGCAGAAGGAGCCCCAGGCTACAACAAATATGAAATGTGCTGCGGTGGCAATATTTTTGAAGCAACATTGTCGCCACTATGGAGAGTGCCGCAGAAGAGTGGGGCAGGAGGGAAACAGGACCATCGATGGCATCCTTGCTGTTGTCATTCAGCACACTTTCCCGCCATAGGATACATTAACTATGAGTATTGTAAGCCATCTTATGTAGGACCTAATTTATTACTCAAGATAGTTTGCTTTTTTAAATCCTACTTTTAAAGTTACTTATAAATATTATTTTTAATAATTAAAACAATATGTTTTTAACTTAGAAAACATTAAAGTTTAGCAAAAAGTAACGTTTTATTAAGGCATATGGAATTCGATCTGTTTTCCTTCATGTTCAGTTTATCCTTGTGTGGACGTTGCCAACACGCCACAGTCCTGTTACCGCCTGCCCCGCCCACTTCACCGCGCACTCCCACCACTCCCCCGTCCGTCGGTGGAGCCAGGAACCCTTTGTCCAAGGTGTGTGATGATTTTAATGGCCTCCAGCAGGGACGAGCAGAGAGCCTGGCCAACATGTTGAAAGGATTGCTGCGAGTTACGCCATGACCAGGCCTACATCCTGTCCGCCCCTCCAGCGACCCAGCCCTACCCTCCCTCTCGCTTCCTTTCCAGAGCATTCCGGCCATGTCCTGCTACAGTTGATTGGCTGTTATTTTCGGTGTTGACGCAGCCGGAGGAGGCAACTGTTGAAATTTGCATATCAAAAACGGCCAGGACATAGCCTGCCAGTGTATATATATATGTGTATGTGTCGTACATGTGGATGTGAATGTAATGGGCCAGCAAAGTCCTTTGCAGGCTCTGGCTGTGCCAACGGCTCTATGAATTTATGAACATAATATAAATTTATTTTTGCAAACTTTT